CGTTTCCGCGGGGGTCGACGAGAGTTTCGGTCGATGGTCCGTGCACGGAATGGGAAGGGACATCGCCGTGGGTAGGTTTCTCGTGTAGCGCTCGGGAAGGAGGGAGATGAAGGGAACGGACACTATCCTGCCAACAGGGGATGCTTGCCTTCCTCCTCGTATAAAAACCCGGAAGTATAGTAACGGGTAGGTCAGACGAGGCGCCGCCTGCGGGGGGATGTTTCTCGTCTCCTTGATTTGATGGCGTCGCCGGCAGGGGATACACGTCACCCCCGTATAAAAACACGGACGTGTGGCACGGGTAGGCCCATTGTGAGCCAGGGGTCGCCCTCCCCCTGTAAATCCTCGGAGGATGGCCTCACGGGTAGACCAACTTATCCAGGGGTACACCCTCCCCCTGTTAAAACACGGAGGAAGAGTTCGGGTAGGACTAGGGGTGCTCCCTCCCTCTGTTAAAACACGGAGGATGATCTCGCGTCGGGGGAAACTCGAGCGGAGGCAGATGGCGCGGCGGAGTAGGGTGTGGTAAAGGGAAAGGCCTCCCTAAACGGGAACCACACGAACATGTATCTACCTCTTCATGGCTCTTGAGGCGAGCCGGAGGTAGGAACACGGGTAGAACTACATAAAGCAGTAAAAAGGGGTCTGCCTCCCCCTCTAAATCGGAGACAGGGTAGATATCACATGGGTAGGTACCATTACGGCGGTCAAACAGGAGTTGCCCCTCCTGGCCCGGACTTAGCAGTCTTGTTAGGCAAAACGCAGGCAGGGACACGGGTAGGACTGCTTGGACGCGAGGGTCTGACCTGACCACCGTCCCTGTGGCCAAAAGGGAGGTCTGCTGTAACGTCCGGTGCGCCTACAGTGTAGCGCTACGTCCTTTTACCAAGCGAGCGTGAGCACGGAATATAGCGAATAGACATAATATGTGCCGACTACAATCGCGTACAGCTATAGGTCAAGTCACCAAAACCGTCGCGATTGAACGCCGCGCATATTGCGCCTGCGCCAAATTATAAACGCTAAAAACGATGCAAGAATGCACTTTAGCACGAAAATACCGTTAACATGGGATAGGGAATAACTGATGTAACAACCGACTTCGACGCAGCTGCAAGGGAAAACCGCAGACCTGTGGAAAATCAATAAAAACGCATAACGCCAACGCAATGCATTGCCGCGCAACCCTGAATGCACCCACCAGCCACAAAGGGCCCCAGGATACGAATAAAACTATTACATCTCAATTTGGAGCACGCACAGACGAGAGAAGGCCCTAAACAAACATTAGAATTCCACACGCACGACGAACGAAAACAACTAGGCTATACTAAAACTTATAATGAAAAAACGCACATAAGGAATATGCAAGCTTCGCCGCGCTGGATTGCAGCACGCGGCAGCCAAGCAAGCCATAAGTGTATCACGATCCCAGCAATAAGATAACGCGTTCGAATTAAAGGAAATCTAATCAACAACGAAGTAAATCGCTAATTAGAAGACCGGCACGTTCTAGACATTTCGCAATAGTACGAATAACGAAACCGTCCCCTTACCGCGAGGGGCCACGGACGAAAAACGTCCCCTTACCGCGAGGTCACAAAGCGAAATATATATAAAGCAGAGAGCGTATGGACACGCGTCCTCATTTTTCCTCAACTCAACTTCCGTCTTAGATTACGGTAAGATCACCCAGCGCTTTAGTTAGCGCTCTGGTACCTTCCGTCTTCCCTCACGTCCGGCCCCGATCGTGCGCTCCCGCGGCGTCTGACGGGCTATTCCCATCCTCTGCCGTGTCTGCGCTCACGAATAGTGAAGACGAGGCACCTCTCCTGCGGGGCTCAAACGATAGCCTTCATGGCGTCGAGGCCCCGCACTATTTTGTCCTTTTCTAAAAACTACTTGTTATATTCTTCTTGCGCATTTAGATGCCCAAACAGAAGCGTCCGAGGGGAAAAAGAGGGAGCTGGAGAGTGCATTTAAAGGAGTTACAGCGCAGTCTCTTTGAGGAAGCCGCACTCCATTCCGCGCGACTAGGGGGGAACGATCCCGACGCGGAATCACACGCGGGAACCAAGTACCAGGGATCGGCGGAAACCCCCGCGACAACTCTCCCTTCTACGGGGACTCCGGGAGAGAACCGCGCCGACAACCAGGAGCGACCTGGTCCGCGCTCCGCGCCGCCGCCATCACCGCCGGGCACGTAGGCGTAGAGGCCGGAGTCGCCTTAGTGTCCACGGTTCTCGTGGCGTACGAGTACTTGCAGACTCAACGCAGAGGAGGTACCTCGCCTCTGTCTAATATAAAACCGGAGGTAGCCTGGTAGGGGAGACGGATAGTCGCGGCTCTTCTCGCTCGCGAGAATCCGGTGACACACGTCGGCCAGCAGGGGTCTGCATTCCTCCCAGTTCAAAACCCGGATGCAGGGACACGGGTAGGGGAGGTGGCTCGCCACGGCTCTTCCCGTAATGGGAATCCGGTGGCACACACCAGCCAGCAGGGTTCTGCATTCCTCCCAGCTTAAAAACCCGGATGCAGTGACACGGGTAGGGGAGGTGGTTCGCCGCGACTCTTCCCATAAAGGGAATCCGATGGCGCACACCGGCCAGCAGGGGTCTGCATTTCCCCCAACTTGAAAACACGGACGTAGAGACACGGGTAGAGGCGATAGATAGGCGCGGCACCTGTGCTGACGCCACATATCGCCGAACACGGGTACTGTCTTCCCATGGTAAAAAACCGAATGGCAGGGGAAACGGGAAGGAGGGCGTGGGTACCGGTCCCGGAATTACCTTCGACCGAACAGGGGTCCGCCTTTCCCCTGTATAAATAAATTAAAGTGCGAGCGCGGCTCGGAGATGGTCCTGCAGAATGGCGGGAGTATCCTCGAAAATGAGGGCATAGCCTGACCGTTGGTGCAGTGGCTTCCTGTTGGCACGGTGTCCTAGTCCTGGTTGCCCGTGCCAAGACGGGATGGACTCGCCCCGCCCTTTCGCATGGGTGGAGAGATCCGGCTGGCGGCGCGGGATTACTTTTTGGCCTGCGGCTGCTGCCGTCAGTATCTGTCGGCGGGGGGTGCTGTTCCGGCAACACAGGCGTCTGCCGTAGTGGGGGCCCCACTTCACCCTACTATAAAACAATCGGAGGTGGCACGCGAACCACGGTCCCTCTAGAACAGTGAACCTGAGGGACCGTGCAGAAACTATGGGATGGAGTGATCGGATGGCTCTCGTGAGGGGCTGATTCTAGGCGTCAGGTCTCGGGGCCTCTGGTCACGACCCCTCTAGGCGAAAATTTTGGAGGGGTCACAGGAGAGAGAGAGCCTTCTGCTCCTTCTTCCTTGTAAGAGAATAAAAAGGCCCTTACTCTCACTAAGAAGGGGGAGAAATCGACGTTGATAGGATCGGGAAAGATCTCCGCCAAGACCCCGTTTAAGACCGCGGACGTGAATCTCGTTCTGCACCGATTAAGAGTGCGGAAAAAAGAAGAAAAGAAGAGGAGAGTATGATACCCAGCTCTCGACAACAGGACGTGCCCTGGTCTCTTGTCGTCGGTCGCAAGGTCAAGACATAGGCTTCAAGAAGAACGCAGGCCTCTACTAAGAATACCAGGGACGGGGCGAAAGGGGCCATACCTCCCGTAAATAGAGTTAGGCGTCTACCAAGATCGGCGGCTGTATCCATCAATTGCAAGGGAGAGACCACCTATGCAGATGTGATGCAGCTCGCAAGAGAGAGAATTAACATCTCAGAGATAATGATCACCGACCTACGACCCTGCCGCTCAAAATCCGGGGCATTTCTCCTGGAGGTACCGGGGGGTGCATCAGAGGTGGCAAAGCCAACACGTTGGCTGTGAAGCTAGCGGAGCTTACGGCAAATAATCCTTACGTTTTCATATCTCGCCCAGAAAAGGGCGAAGTGAGAATTCGCGACTTGGAGGCTTCCATTACAATGGGCGAACTGCACGACTATATTTCCAGTTTGGGTGAATGTAGGCCTACCGAGATCAAACTGGGAAGGTTGGTCAATATGCCAAACGGATTGAGGTTGGTTTGGGTAAAATGCCCTCTTAGATCCGCACTCAAAATCACAAAGATGCCAAAGATCAAGATTAGATGGACCAGTGCCAGGGTGGAGCTGCTCGCGGACAGAAGATTGCAGTGCCACCGATGTTGGATGAAAGGACACGCTGCTAGCGAATGCAAGAGCGGGTGGCACCCAGTTGGACACGGCTCAATTGGACACGAGCCACTCACAGCGCTTGAGACTACAAAGCTCCTAAAGCACCGGTCGCTGTGATTGGTGGTGTCCAATCGAGACGTGGTCAATCGGAATCACCCGGCAAGAGCGACTCTGACCGCAGAGGTCTCTGTTATAAATGTGGTGAAGCTGGCCACGCCTCCAGCTCTTGCAATAACAAAGCACACTGCGCGGATACAGGGGTTCCAGCGAATCATAGATTCGGAGGCAGGGCCTGCAACCCTCCTTCGGCCGCGAGGATAAAACCCGGGAGACGGATTGAGGATATTGGGCCAGATATGCGACCGAAAAAGAAAAGGAAAGCGAAGGAGAAACCTTCACGTATGGACGCAGAGGTATCCCTGCATGTTACTAAGCAGGCAACGGTTGCTCCTGAAGGGATGGAAGTAGACGCTGAAGGGACGTCACCTACTGCACCTACTGCAGATGGTACAGCCCAGGCCTCACTGATCCTGGCCCCGGCAAGTGCCACGGAGGACTCTGAGGCTGATAATGCGGGCCCCCGTAATGAGGACTCCTGGGACGGGTCATGTACTGAACAACCTAATGCCTGGTTCGGAGAATAGATACAATCGGCTACTACAAGCCAATATTAATAACTCCGCCGGGGCCCAGGATCTCCTCAACCAGGCCCTGGCGGAAGATGATTACGCGCTGGCCATTGTCGCGGAGCCGTATCGGGTTTCGGTTGGCCATCCACACTGGGTGGTCAGCAGCGGTGGTACGGTAGCTGTGACATGAAGGCGGAACAGGAATACGCTTCCCTGCGTGCCTGTCGAAAGCGGAAATACCCTCACCGCGGCTAGATGGGGGGACACCCTAGTGATAGGTGTCTATATTTCCCCCAATATTGATAGATCGAGTTTTGAAGAAATACTCGAAATCGTGGAGGAGTGTATGGCGCACGTAGGGAACGGACCCCTTCTCCTTGGTGGAGACTTCAATGTGCACGCCACTCTCTGGGGATCCCCTAGGACTGATGTGAGAGGAAGAATCCTAGAGAGTTGGGCCGCAAGGTTGGGTTTGGTCTGCCTCAATAGAGGAGCTAAACTCACCTGTATAAGACCGCAGGACTCCTCCATAGTCGACCTGAATTTCGGGAGCCCAGCAATAGCAGCTAGAGTACAGGAGTGGAGCGTTCTTCCAAATGTTACATTGTCGAATCATAGTACATACGCATCGAACTCTCCGAAACGGCGGCGCAGATACGCAGAGGGGCTCGCCCGCGGGAACGGAGATGGAAACAGAAGGCTCTCGATGGTGACCTCATGAAGGCTTCACTCATTGCCGGAGTAATGGTCCCAGTCGGAGATCCGGCCACTAGGAGCCTGGACGAAGAAGCCTCCAGTGTCAGAAAGATACTGGTGCGTGCGTGCGACGTGTCCATGCCACGTACAAGGCCACAGCCCAGAAGAGCCATGCCTTGGTGGAACCAAGAGTTGGCGGACCTACGCCAAGAGGCATTTAATGCTAGGAGAGCGTTAAAAAGAGCACGCCGAAGGCACTTCGAGGAGGATGAGCTGGAGTTCAGGGTCGGACGGCTCAAGATGGCAAGACAGGTGTTAAAAACCGCCATAGCGAAGGCGAAGTCTGAGTCTTGGGAACACTTTATTGCGACCCTCGATGAGAACCCGTGGGGTAAACCCTATCTTCTTGCCAGAGAGAAACTAAGGCATTGGGCTCCCCCGATCACCGAGTCCCTCGAGCCTCCGATGTTCGAGCGGATGTTACGAGATCTCTTTCCGCCGTCTGGGGAGTCCTGCACTTGAACTGAACCTCTTCTCGCTCAGACTGTCTGGACCTCCTGGAAGCAGGAATACGCAGTCAAGGATGAAGAACTCCTAGAAGCCCGGAAGAAAATGATGCAGAAGAACGCGGCTCTGGGCCAAAGCGGCGTAGTACCTGCTATAATGTGAGGTGCAGCAACGCAGATTCTAAAGGAACATATACGTTTGTTGTATACTGAATGCCTCAAACGGGGCTACTTCCCACGAACGAGGCAAGGAGCCAGATTGGTCCTCTTGAGGAAACATGGCAAACATGCAGATCAAGCTGCAGGCTACAGGCCAATTTGCTTCATAGAGGAGGAGGCAAAGCTCCTGGAGAGAATTATCCTAGAACACGTTGTGTCGCATCTAGACAGAAGGGGCCCCAATCTTCACGAGAAACAATTCGATTTCCGAAGAGGAAGGAGCACTGTTCTGTGCGTTAAGGATTTCATAGAGAGGGCATGGGAGGAGGGAGATGTAGTTATCGGCGTCTCTCTGGATATCAGAAACGCCTTCAACTCCCTCTCCTGAAATGTAATTGGCCTTGCTCTGAGAAGACATAGAGTGCCTCTTTATATTCGGAGGATCCTGAGGTCGTATCTTGAGAAGCGATGCCTCTAGTATTGCGTGGCTGACGGCGTGCTCGTGAATCGGGCCGCGGATAGAGGTGTCCCACAGGGGTCTATTCTGGGGCCACCTCTTGTGGAACCTCGTCTTTGACGGGGTCCTCTCGGAGGCTGATCTTCCCCCCTACTGCATGGTCGCTTGCTATGCGGACGACACTATTGTCCTGGCAGTCGGGGGGAATTGGGAAGAAGCACGCCTGAAAGCAAACGAGGCACTCCACAGTGTTGTGGAGAAGATCCATAACCTCGGGCTTCAGGTCGCGCTGGAAAAAACCGAGGCCGTTGGCTTCCACCGCAAGGGATGGCAGGCTGGTCTGGTTATAAGGGTCGCCGACATGGATATTCGGCTCACCCAGACTATGAATTATCTGGGGCTCCTCCTAGATAGGAGACCCTTTTTTGAGGATCACTTTGCGAGGGTGACCAAGAAGACGGAACGGGCAGCTTTATCGTTGAACAGACTTATGCCAAATTTAGGCGGACTTGGAAGTAAGGCTCGTCGTCTTTTCGCAAACATTATCGCCTCCATTGCATTGTATGCTTCCCCCGTCTGGGTGGACGAGGTGAAGAAAAGGTGCTCTATCCGTAACGCACTTAGGGCCGCGCAACGAAGGATTGCTGGGAGAGTGATTCACTCTTACAGCACGGTCTCCCACGCCGTGAACACCGCTCTAGCTGGTACCCCACCGCTCGAGCTGGTGGCGGAATTCCACTCGGAGACATACTTCGAGATCTCCGAGCTGAAAGATCAGATGGGACCGATCGTTGTTACACCCGATTTGGTAAATCGGGTAAGGGAGCAGGGGAAACTGAGGATGTTCGATAAGTGGAGACTTTGGATCGCGGCCTCCGATCAGAGGGGAGACAAGACCATTCTGGCGGTGCAGGACTGCCTCAAGAATTGGGTGGAGGCTAGGATAGGCTCTCGCATCGTGCGACGCAGATACTTACTAATCACGGCTGTTTTAGCCGGTATCTGCGTCGCATAGGGAAGGAGACGTCTGAGCGCTGTTGGCACTGCAACGAGGCCAGGGACACGGCGTCCCATACCCTGGAGTGTCCGGCCTGGGCCATACAAAGGGCTTCGCTCAGAGAGGTAGTTGGCCAAGATCTATCGCTGAGTGCCATTATCAAGACCCTACTCAATGAAGAAGGAAGGAAAGCCTTTCTCGCCTTTGCGGAGGATGTTATGAGGAAAAAGGAAGCGAGCGAAAGGGCTAGAGAGGGAGTACCGGTCGTTTTGACTGGAAGCTGATCAATCTGACCGATCACCCGAGTTCGCTAAATAAGGCGAGGGAATCGATACAAGAAGATAGAAGGAGGTCCCGCGATTTGCAGAACCTCCTTTCGGAACAGGCTTCACGAACCTCTAATCATTTGGAGTTCGAGAGTCAACTCAACACAGTCTGGCGGTTTGTTCAGAAGAAAGATGAGCTGCAACACGGTAATTCCCGGTGCAACCAGAAGAGCCCAGATAGGACTCAAAGAAGACACGGGATCCAGTTCCGTTAATTAGGAGCTGGACATCTGAATCCGCTATTTAGGACTGGAGAAGACGGTGTATCGGCGCTGGCTTGGGATGGCACCTTTACCCCAGTCCAGCAACATCCGCTCCAGTTCGCTGTGGGGTCTGGCGACTCCTAGTATCGGCACGGGAGGCTAGGCGGTGAGGGAAGGTGATGTCCCCCTTCAAGGTGTACATTAAGTTAGGATAGGGCGCTGGGTCGGGCCGGTAGTATTGCGGACGCGAAGATCCCGGTTCGACCCAATTCGCGCTAAGGTTAGGACATCCGCAGTGGTTTTAGTGGGTAGTACACAGTCCCGGTAGATCCGGGTGAGTCCACATAACCCGGTTCCTTCCCTCGAAGAGCCGGGCATGCGCAAATGCATTTCCACTGCGTCAATAAAAAAAAAAGTAAATAAGTTTGTGTAAAGGGCGGTATATGTGGTGTATAAAATTGTAACCCCGAGGGGATCAATAAAGTTTATCTATTTATTTATCTTATAGGGACAAAATAAACACCAGTTGAAACTGCATTTTTCCCCTTTAAAATGCATTTTTTTAAATCTCTATAATTTTTCCTTTCATCGAGATACTTTAGTCTTTATAAAATGCGAGTAAATCACAAGCGATCCCAAATTTATGAACGGTGTATACATATAGATTATCCTATAAAAGTAAGTTTGCATGTCTAATATGAATATTAATATAAATGCAGTACTGCTCAAAATTGACCAATTAAATAGTCGAGGCATGACATATTACATAATAGTGAAAATGCATGCAAAATTATATCAATATAATATGATTTATTGTACAATTTATGATATTATTAAGTTACTATTTATCTTTTAAATACAGGGTGATTTTTTTTAACCTGAAACTTTCAAATATCTCGAAAAATAAGCATACTAAGAAAAAATGTTAAGAATCAATATTTCATCATTCCGAGGGTGACATATACTGACGTTAAAATCAGCCCCCCTCCACCCCGCCCCTTGGGCGGTGAGGGAGGCAAGTTTGAAATCTTAAATAGGAACCCCTATTTTTTATTGCATATTCGGAATTTTTGGCTAAAAGCACATACGATTTGTCTGAAACATTTTTCTCGATTCATGATAGATGGCGCTGTAATCGACGAAATCAATTTCTTCGATTTCTCTTACTGAGAACCCATGCTTACGATTCTGCAATACATTAACAATAAAAATACCACGTTTTCATTGTTAATATTCAAAATTAGTCTTAAAACTTTTCATTATTTTTAATTACTTAGAAAATTGCTACGTCCACGTCGTTGTTCCTGGGTTACGCTAAAAATAGTTTCTTGAGAAGTAATTAATGAGTAATTCTCAGTAAGAGAAGAAGAAATTGAATTTCGTCGATTACAGCGCCATCTATCATGAATCGAGAAAAATGTTTCAGACAAATCGTATGTGCTTTTAGCCAAAGATTTTGAATATGCAATAAAAAATAGGGGTTCCCATTTAAGATTTCAAACTTCCCCCCCCCCCCTCACCGCTCAGGGGGCAGGGTGGAGGAGCTGATTTTAACGTCAGTGTATGTCACCCTCGGAATGATGAAATATTGATTCTTAACATTTTTTCTTAGTGTGCTTATTTTTCGAGATATTTGAAAGTTTCAGGTTAAAAAAATCACCCTATATATCGATATATTTATAATATTATATATTGATTTGTTAGATATTTTATTATTTTTTATTATATCAATATGCGTGCGTGCGTGTGTGTAAATAAGATTCATGTTTGAAAACACCTTTACTACTGTGCTATATCAACGCATGAATTTCAAATAATTTAATTGACCAACTTTAAATCATTCTATAAAGACTATTGTAATCTAGTTATCTTTTAATATTAGAATTTTTATTTTGAAATAATTTCAAGAATCTGCCATTAACTGTTATTATTCAAAATCTGGAACTGTGAAATGAATCCTTTGCTTGACGAAATCTAATTTAGTACCGTAAGAGAAATAGGAAAGGTTTAAACAGTTTTTAATGTTGATTATATTAAAAGATAATAGACCAGTAGCATATCACAAAATTGACAAGATAGAAGAAAATGCTCCTTGACTTTTAACTCGAATAATTACACTAGTTTACAAAAAAACGTTTTTTTTTAATTACTTTAAACTAAACAAAATGTTTTTTTATAGATTTATGGATGCCAAAAACGCACCTGCAATTTCAATTTCTCTAGCACGTCAGGTTTTCAAATAATAAAAATTTAATGTGCAAAAAATGTCTTTTTTTACAATATTTGACATTTTTTATAATAAGGAAAGGTTAATATTATCTTGAAATTCTAATCAGAAGTCATTCCAATAAGAACGAGAAGGTATAATATACGTATATTTGTAGAATATACCCAAATATAACATACAGCGCCTACAAAGCGTTAAGAATTATTAAGCGTTAAAAAAGTGTTTTTATATAAGCGCTTTTTAGCGCTTTGTAGGTGCTGTTGTGCTACTTGGGTAACATATACTATGTATAGAATAAAGGTCATGTATTATCTAAGCGTAGAACGGAGTTATCTGTCCATCTCGAATATTTCTAAAAAGACGCATTAAAAAAAATATTTTAGACAAAAATTGTATAGGTAGTCCGTATATGTATCAATAGCCACAAACCAGAAATTATATATGACTTTATTATCGTCGAAAAATTTACTATTTTAGAGAAATCTTGCATTTAAATCTATAATACAGCTAAAACATAAAATTAAAAAAGATTAAAAAATAAAATTTAGGAAATTTAAAAAATATATACATTTTATTGGGGATAAATAATATATACATGACTTTTAATCGGAATTTTGCAATAACGTTAATTTTTTTTGCAAAAGAATGTCAAATATTGTTAGAAAAATTACTTTTTAGATATTAAATCTCAATTATCTTGGAAATATGATGTGCTGAAATTTTTTAGCATTATGCGACATCGTTTTAAGCATATAAAAGTTTAAGAAGAATAAGAAACCTCTAGTCTGGTTCAAAGTAATTTTTTGCTGTAAATTAGTGTTATTGTACTAAATAAATTTCGTTTATACGGACCGACGGATTAACATTGAATAATCGATCGTACAAGTCTGGAATTAGTAGCAATGCGAGATCTGTAATGAACGGATCAATTGATTTTCGATTAATATTTTTCGTCAATATTTTTCACTATTTAAATTTCAATTCCAAATGTATGCTTGGAGCAAGTAAAATTATTATCGTGCCAAAAATGGACTGAATAATATGTTAACATCTAATAACATTGACGTCGTTCAATTACATTGTATGTATGTACTGTACATGCCATAAATTTTACTATACTATTTCTTCTTATAGCATGTAAACGTATAAAATAATCCTGTAAGATTTTCCAAAAATATGTGTTTCAGGCTATGTCATACATGTAGAATTCTCTGAATTGATCCTGAGCGATGAAATTGCATATGCAATGTTTCAATTAATTATTCTACCATTATAACTTGTTAAATTTGAAATAGTCAGAGATTGGTCGAATATTGGCAATTCTCGTCAAGATGTAATCATATATAGAGACATACTATGGGAAGGGGAGGGAGAGAGAGAGAGAGAGAACATCGCTTATTTCTCTCTAAAAAAAACTGACACCGGCGAATAGTGCAACTGCTACAAAGGAACGTACTGACATTTCTTTGTCTCTTCTCATATGCATTTGTTTGTTTGCTTGTCAGTAAATTCTCTTCTCAATAAAATATAAGACAGATTACAACATATATTATTTTCTATAACGTCATGTAATAGCGTTGTATAATGCTAGTATTAATTACATACAGGGTGTTCCCATACAAGTTGTCACCTCTTTTCATCTTGTATAAACAAAGATAGATACAAATACAATATCAAATTAAATAGATCTTACTAAACTTTATTATATATAAGAACAGTGATCACTTAGAAAAATTATCTACTATATAAAACGAAGAGATATGCATAATTTTTGTACGATAAAGTAGATATTTTGATATAATAAAAGTTGTAGTGTTCCAACGAATATGGTATATGTATAACAATATATAGTATAACAAAATTATACAAGTTATTTCGATTTAAAGTTTTGCTGACAACTATCTTTTCAGTTTCGGCCCTGTGATGTGGTAAACTTTCGACTCTCGCATTGATCATGGTATAAGAATATAAGGTATTCTATTCCCAAGAATGCGCAGTCATCTTGAACATGGAAGTTCTTCTTCGATCAATCAAAACGTTGCCCCAAATTGTTAAAAAGAACCTGATTGTTAGCATGTGCATTCCATTAACTTTGGAGCAAATATTTGATTGGTTGTTCTGATTTAGTCTGCTGTGCAATGGAAAACCTTATATATTTATATCATGGCATTAATCAGATGACAACATATTACACGCTCATACAGTACACTTAATTCTAGAGATGTTCCTGCGGACATTCTCAGAATGGTGAAACATTCCTAGGATGTTCTTCGAAAAAAAATTAATAGTTTACGAGATATTTAATATTTCGGATCAATATGTGCCAGAATAAAGTACAAACTATCTTGTAAATTTTTGGTTTTTTGATATCTCTAACTTTTATATATAATATTTTTATTTGTAGAATAATCAGGAGGATTACATTATGTATAGAAAATCATATAAATTCCATTTGAAAAATAGAAATGATCTTCGTATCTTTTTGGCACCTCCACCTAGGAAAATTGGGAGAGTCCTAGATTTAATAATTTGCACATCCCCTCCCACGTTGACTTTCATTAGTCTGAAATTTCTTCGTTATTATATTTTTACTATATTCCCAGCAAACACAAATATATCTCAAACACGTAACTCACATATGATCTTAATTTTTTGGATCGTAACAGTTATGTCAAAAGTTACGTGAATTTGCAGAGAATGTTCTCAAATTTGTTGTCCCATTTTACTTATAGTAGTTACATAACAGTGATATGATTACGCAGCGACGACAGGTTGATATATAACAACCATGTATTGAGATGAAATGCATATATAACATTTATGCAATGCAAAACTTGTCATTGTGACATCACAAATAAATAACAGTTGATTAGCCTGGCGTATACATGGCACATTAAGAATTTAGAAGTAATAATGGGATCGACATCGAATCGATC